CATAGGGGATTTGATGAGACTCCAGTAACACTCATTCTGAGCCTCTTTAAGAAGTCCAGGCTAACACACTGATGATTATTACATGGCTTCCCAAAGAAGAGTGAAATAGTGTGATAACAATATCCATGAATTATTACCCCAGTCTCACTTGTCTGTCACATTGCTACATATGGTATACATAAATAGCATGTGCTGAAAAATTCCTGAATGAATAACTCCTTAAGCATCACATTAAAACACACACACACACACACACACACACACACACACACACACACACAAAGATTACTCTGTGAAAGGTATTTAGAGAGCCAAAAGGCAGTATTCTTCATTTTATGGTAAAGATAAAAAATTATGAAAAAGTGGCCAGCAAGGAAAATCATTAGTCATTAATATTTCATGTACTTTATAGCTAGTAGACAAATTTTAGGTGAAATGTGACAAGAGTTGTATTATAACATATTTATAATGATTTACTTTATTATTATTATTATCCTCACCCAAGGATATGTTTTTATTTGATTTCAGATAGAGAGGAAGGGAAGGGACAGAGAGAAAAACACCAATGTGAGAGAAAAACATCGACAGGTTGCCTCCTATATGCACCCTGGCAGGGATCGAACCTACAACCTGGGTCGGTGCCCTGACTGAGATTCAAACCCACCACCCTTCGGTGCACGAGACAACGCTCCAACCAGGGCTATCTAATTTACTTTATGTAGTTTTCAATTAGATACTTTACCAAAAAAAGTAGAGATTCTCAAATGCAATCACCGATCCACAGGATCCTATGTAACTCATGGTGACTTTCTCTTGTTTATCAAATACTTGTGCTGTAGAAAATTTTGAAAGACTACTTTATAAACTATAATTGTTATCATTAAAACTAATGTCAGATAAGGACTTCAAATAATATCAGACCAACTCTCCTGCTTCCAATAATTATGAACTCTGGACAGAATATTAAAGGTATTAGACCAGCAATCTAAAGCAGGCAAAAACTGGAAGGGATATGAGGCTCCCAAAAAGAAGAGCCAACTTCCTTTTCCCTGAAGGTATCCCCCAGTCCATGGAGCAGAAGAGGGATGGAGTGCGAGCAGAAAAAGCAAGTCTCACTGGCTGAGCAGTCTAAGGTGTCTTGACCCGTCAGAGCAGCTGCAATTTGAGGAGCCTGGACAAGCCAGCACCACAGACAGAGAAGTCCCGAGTGCCTCCAACTCCACTCAGATCCGTAAGTGATTCCTGGCGAGGCATGAGCAAGACAATAGCTAGGCGCCAAGAGAACGCAAGAGTTGGAAAGCTGAGCATGGTTCTGGGGAGTGGGAGGTTTGAATTCAAATCTACCAAATTAGAGGTGCTTGGGAAGCACCTGGGATTGGGGAAACACCTCTAGTTTCCACTGAATCCCCTTAGGAGGTCATAGTTTGGGAAAGCCAGGTTCCCAGGTGTAAGGACTGAAACCATCAGACTAAGGGCAAAACAGACCCACCAGAGCAAAGCCTAAAACCAAGTCCTTCACAGGATCGTGGTGGTCTTCCCGTAAGGCAGCTGCCTGCTAGACCCAAACTCAGTGTTCTTTAGCGGAAGATAAACTTTACCATGCATCACTCAGGATGTCCAGTAAGTAATAAAAACTACCATAAGTATGAAGCAAAGAAAAATTGTACCCACAGTCAAGAGCAAGAGATGTTGAGAGAAACACGCCCCAAGACAAACCAGATGTTAAGAATTGGCAGGCAAGGACTTAAAATAATTATGATAAACATGTCTTAAAAATGCACACTTTGTGAATTTTACACATAGTAACCTCACCCACGCCCAACATTTTAGTGAACTTGAGTTGCCCGTGATTTTTAATCAAATTGGGATTTGGGATGGTTTATATCAGAAAGTCTGAGACAAGCAACTTGAAAGTGATTAATGACGGCTAAACTTAATTATATATTTACACCTCCCAGTAGGACAAGGGAGAGAATGAAATGTCTTATCTCTCTGTAGTGAGAGGGCTTTATTGAGATCTGACAACGACTATTTAGGAGCAATAATTGAGTTTTATGCAAGATTACACAGGCTCTCCTTGCCTGGCAAAGCAATATAATCACAGACTGACTGACTACTTAGGCTCCCAACAGTGAAGAGAAAAAACAACAACAGTTGAGCTGTGTACAAAACGAACCTTTGCAAGTACTTATCCTCATCTGTCAATATGGTCTTAACCAAGGATTTCTATAATTTCTGTAAACTATCATTACATTTTAGCTGAGTCAGTAACATGAGGCTCTTTATTCATACAGATACCTTATACTTTAAAACGTTTTCCATTAATTTCCATCCCACCCACCAAAGGAATCTGGCTTAAACTTTCTTTTCTTAATCCACCAAGCAATCTCATATAAATAAAAGATAATCATATGCCCTGCATGTCTGATGTAATTCTCATAAACCTTCTAAGTGTCCTAATACTCATTTACCATTTTGTGAAAATAATATTTACTGAGCAAGCTGGATTGCCTACCTTCTTTCCCCAGGGAACAACAACATTGATGAGGATACACTGGAAGGTCTGTACGTAGATGTTATTTTTGCTTAAAATTCTATGGAGACTCTATGGCCTGGGATTGCAGGGATGACTGACTGGCCTCCCTGATACTGTCCTTGCACTTCTTGTGCCCACTTTTGCTGGCACCGTCACTCCTGAAGATGCCAGTTTATTTGCCTCAGATAGAGAAACGCTTTCCCCCCCAAGTTTAGTTGTTCATATTGGTCTCCCAAAAGGATGGCCTTGCCCATTTTTTTTTTCTTACTGAGCCTTTCTCAGGAAGCCTGTTTCTCTTACAACAGAGTCGGAAGATATCTGAGTCACCCACCCAGAACTGTAGCCCTAAGCAATCCATCCCAATGGATGAGTAAGTATCCAGGGACAGAACTCAGGCAGCTCCGTTTACGTCATTCACAAAGTGAGTGCCATGTTCCCTAGCAGTGCTTCTTCCATAAACGGGGGGCAACTCTCTCTCACCTTGGCTGGAGAGCTGGAGACCAGCAGCCCGCAAATCTGTTTGCTCCCCCAAAGCATTCCTTACTGTCCTTTCCTGGTAAGTGCTCAGAAATTGGTCTTCTCGATAAGAGATCAACTGAAGGACTTGTATGCATGCATATAAATATAACCAATGGACACAAAACTCTGGGGAGGGAGGGCAGGTATAGAGAGTGGGGTGAGGGCAATGGTAAGATATGTACACATATAATAATTAATAAAAAAAAATTTTTTTCAAAAATTTAAGAAAAAGAAATTGGTCTCCTCTAGAAACCATCTCTCCCCATGTCAGACCACAAATACGTAGGCCAACTTTTAGACCCTATTTATAAGGTGAAATATCTCCAAATGAGTTAGAAGTAAACGAAATTGCCTACCATCCTAGATACTATGTGAAGGGAATGAAATTCTCAGAGAGGACTGATTTCTTCTGAAGACAAATAGAATTTTTAAATGTGGACAATGGTGTCTATTGAGCACTTTTTGGTTCAAGAAACATATTGCTAAGCCCTGGCTACCTGCCAGGCATTATAACTATACAAAGATGCATAAGACCAGGACCTCACAGCCTAGCAAAATAAACAAATATATCAACAAATGATCATAATGTAATGGGTTAACTATCACAAGAGAGCTGAATAATAGAATAAAGCAAGTAACTAAGACACCAGATGCCAAAAAGGGACTAAACAAGATTTTGGTGGCCGATTCGAGGTATTAAGTTCCTTCCCTTTTTATCTCCAGTTGTGCTTCCATTCTTAAGAGGAAAATGTATCACATGTTTTGAGGTGGGGTTTTTTTTTTTTTTCCAGCCAGAAAAACTAAGTAAACAGCACATCATCAGTTACATAAAATATTTCATTTCCAATGTTATCTTTATTCTAATCCAAACAACCTATTGTTAAGACTCACTGTCATCACAGCTTAAAATATTTTCACTTCAGCGAAGAAGAAAATTCCTTCTGACTTGGAAAAATTCTTGTTTATAACATTAAAGAACCTAGATCTTGGTGAGAATGGACTTAATGGGAACACATGTCATTATCTTTATGATATTTGATTAAATATCCAGAGAAGAAACAAAAATGTGTTGGATAAACTCCCTTACAATGTTTAAGTAAATACACACACACACACACACACACACACACACACACACAAATATATTAGTATACACATTATAAAAGTATTAAAAAAAGATAAATTTCTTATTATCAAGTCTTATTTTCTATGATATAAATGCTCCTACCAAAAACTTAAAATTGAGTTAGAAAGCAAAAAGGGTCATAGGAAACCTAGAAAAGGTAGTTGAGATGAACTAACTAGATGGTTGGAGAAAAAGAAAAGTAACACTCTTAGAACTAGCCTATGCTCCCTCGTCCTGTTCCTCATCCCTATTCTTGTAAACCCATATAATGGCATTTACCCACAGCCCCTGCTCCTACCCCATCCCAACAAGCATGTGAGCATCTTCTTCCTGCACAGTCTCTTTCAGAATTTTTACACTAGAAAAAGAGTTTCATGTGGCTATAATATCCACGAATATTAGGCAGAATTAAAAAGTTAATATCTACTTAGTTTGGTTTAAAAAACAAGATCATAGCTAACGTGTTTAGGAGAGAATCTAAGGGTGTGCTTTAAACTGAAACATGTAGGAGAATGGACTAGTAGATTAACTAGCCTAGTTAATGAAAAACTAGCATTGCCATTCAAAATTACTCACTGAAGAGTCTCTTTCATAATGAAAAAGATAACAAGAAAGTAATAAGGAGTTCTTATTAACTGACTATCTTGTCCCCACATCCTTTCATCCTCATCCACAGCAGAACTACATCAGGAAAGTTAGAGAAACTGTAACTACTTCACAGAAATAATAAAAATAGAATAGTAGAACTGAATATTGCCCAGGATCCTAAGGAGATAAAATAAAATACATGAAGAAGAAAAAGCATAGAGAAAAACTTACTTGCAGTATCCTGTTCCGTTGTGGTAGGTAACACACACTCCTTCATTAACACAGAGCTCAATGCCGTCCCGACATTGCAATGCTAAAAATAAAAACAAACACACATTAGAAACAAGTCACTAATCATAACCCTCAGACATCAAAGAAATGTTATCCAATCTAAGTCAACATTCGTTCCCATGTCCAACCTGACCTGGGTTCCCTTTTAGAGTTTTAATCAGGTTTTTTTTTTCTTTTCTTTTGGCTTCTGGGGTCAGTGTCTCTTCCCACAATAACTGTTTTTGTGGTCTTGAATGATGCTTTTAATTATCTGTGCCTGGATTTCCCTGCTGTTACATCTGGATCTCCCAATGATACTAAGGAAATCCAAACTATAATACTCATGACAGGCCATGAGCATCTTGGGATTTGGACACTTCAGGTGAGTAATGCAAAGATTCATCAATACACATTTAGGAAGACCAGGGTAGATACTAGATCGCCACCATATTAACTACGTAAGCCTTCAGGTGAGGCTACAGAAAAGGTCACTTGAAGAAGCAATCAGACACATCAACAATATTCATTCAACAAACTACAGCTGAGAGTCTAGTATGTACCAGGCATTATGTTAGGGTCCAGAGGGAAAAAGAGAAGTGGAATACATAGAGAAATATATAAAACATAATCTCTAACTTTAAGGGGAACAGATCATGAATAGAGATTGTAGAGGAAGGGGATCAAAGTAAAGAAAATGAAAAGGTTCATTTATACCGACAGATAAAATAATAATTCTCAAATTCTTGAACCCCAGTCCCTTTCCGAGGCAACAATAAGGCACTTCACCACCCTAATCCCTCCCCAAAACAGGCTACTTAGAAATAAACAGCGAAAGTAGAATGTTTTGTGATTTAAGCCAAAAGAGGAGGAAAGCTACCCAAAGCCTGTCACTCACTGGCTACATAATGACAATACCTTGATTGTTGGAGCTTTCAGAGTTGGAATTTTCATCAACAAGATATTATAATTCTAATAACTGGAAAGGCAAGACAGAAAGAAACCTAGTCAAAAAATCAAAATCAAAATGGAAGTTCGTGAACTTTTTCAGGAAGATTATTAAGATTTCCATCTCCTGGAATGGCTCATGTATAAATACCTGAAAGCAAAACTGTGAAGTCTCCAGTTTGAGTTCCTAGCCACACCACTCTTTGACTAAACTGCAATATCAGAGGCTCTAGGCCTGCCCTTCCTGGGCATAGAAACCACTTCTTTCCCCAGCAAGGCCCAGGCACAGGCTGATGTTAGAAAAACTCCTTCATGAGCGGTGACTGCAGAAGATCCCTGCATTTGCCCAGGACACTTATTGAGTGGCGGAACTATTTGAGAACATGTTTACGGAAATCTCATCTCTTAAAATAATAATACTTAAAAACAGTATTAACAATAGCAGCTAACACACAGCCCTTACTAAAAAAGCAGGCATTATCCTAAGCACTCTATATAGACACATTCAATCTTCCCTACAAGCCTATTGAGACAGTACAGGGACTTGGGCCCTGACATAGGAAATACCAGGTGGCTAGGAAGCCAAGATCAGACCAGATGGCTGGAAGGAACTCAAGAACGTCACTATCCCTCCAAGAGGTAGCTGATTTTATTGCCCTTCTGGATGCCTTCTTAATCTACTGACCCACATGCCAAGCTGATCAAGGTCTGGCTACTACAAGACCTTCCTGAGGGTGGCAGCAATAAGCAACACCACCATCTTGCCCCATAGTGCAGGGGCAGAGACGGTTGCTCAGCAACCTAACAGGAGGAGAAAGTAACCCTGCCCTGACATGACAAATTCCAGTCCCCAAGCCCCTCACAGGGCCGTCTTTTTGCGCAAGCTCACTTGGTAAAAGCAGCCAAGCAGAGCCAGACCCTGAGCCCCTGCAGAGAGCCTTCCTTTCTCTGTGCCGACTCCCTTGTGCTCCAGCAGAAGCTTATTAAAAATCTGTCTGGAACTTTTCCTGGGGTTTCCTCTCAATTTCTCTCTTGGGGAACCCAAGAATCCCAATGTCACAGTATGAAGGAGTTAGTTTCATTACGCCCATTTCATAGGAAGGGTAAGTAGCCTGCCTATCATCACACCGGTTAATGAAAGACCCACAATGTGAACCTAGAAGCTCCGGGTCCCACGATAGTTTGTGCTCTTCACTGCAGGGACCCACTGCTTCCCACTATCTGGCACCTTCCTTCTCAGAATGGGCAGGATCGGCATCATCACACTCATTTACCAGAAAGGGAAGGCAGAGAAGGTACAGGGCATCACACCACTAGTTGGCAGTGCTGGGCCTGGGACCTGGCTCTCTTACCGAGTCCAGCCCCTCTCCAGGACCGCTGCTGGGATCACACAAGCAGTCCCCAGGCAGCAGCCTGAACAGGCAGATGCAGGAAAAGGGTCATCTTGTTGTCTATATCCCACTTCCCTGTAGGGCTCGAATGCTCTCTCTTCCCACACTGATAAGCCCCATGCAACAACTATAATTAAAACAGTTAATGTCAGGTTATTTCCTCCATACCAAAGTTCTCAAACTGGTTTCTTTCTTTTCTTTTTTTTTTTTTAATTCACTTTGGACACTTTTATTAGTTTCAATGAGAACTTCCTGACTTTTTTACTATTTGTTGTGTTTTTTTCCCCCTTTAAATAAAAGAAGAAAACCTCACAGTAGGAAAGAAATGTCCCCCAGGCAGAGAGCAAACTGCAACTTTGCCCTCCCCCTGCAGGGATCCTGGTGCAGCGAGGGAGTCAGGAGACAGAAATCCTGCCTCAACCGCTCACTCGCTGTGCTGCTTACTACAAGCAAAGCACAACCTCACATAGGCTCGTTTCCTACCTGCAAACCAATCTAGGCTGAACTAAACGCTCCTGAAGGTCCCATGGGATCCCACAGGGACACCTCCCTCCTGAGAACATCTGAACGGCATGCCTAGTACCTGGAGAAATCTGTCCAGAAAGACATGAGGGCCCAATGGCCCATGACTCAGAAAGCCATGGGTGCAAAATTAAAAAAAAAAATCAATTACAGCCTGTCCCTATTAAGCATCCTGGGCAAATCAATACCGCGACAGGTTCACAGAAATACAAACAACACAGAGTCAACATGTGGCAATCAATCTATCAAATAACTTTACAGCCTCGCCTTAGCGAGCCAATCAAATTCAGTGACCAAAAAGGAGGCGGGCTTACAGGGTTAATAATTAATGCCATCTGGCTGATCTGTAGAGTCATGCTACCTTAAACATTGAACATTGACTAAGCCACGGTTCTTCAGTGTGCAGTGGAATCATTTGGAGGGTGTGTGGGACCCCACCCCCACAGATGGTGACTTAGTGGGTGTAGAAGGGCCTGGGAATTAGCATTCCTGGCCAGTTCCCAGGTGATGCTGGCGCTATGGGTCCGAGGAACACTTTGAGAGCAACTGTGCTCAAAAGAGTGTCCACTTTAACAACTCCCTTAAGATGACATAATCCACTGGAGGTCTTGGATGGTCCTGATGAGAACACATGGCCTGAATATACTAAGGAAAAAAATAAAGTAAAATTTCAGACTCATGACTTTGCCTGGGGGCTATTTCTAAATGAATACTGTAATTATTTGCTACACAAAGAGAAGTTAACACTTTGATATCTCAAAACCAGGACAGTAACTGGGAAAGACCTCATTTTAAAAATTCAATTTACTCCCCCGTCCCCAATGTAAAGCATCTACATTTAATGATAAAATTGAAAGCAGCTTTCTATTTGTAGGGTAAAAAACCAAAATGCTCAATTATACCACAGTTGGAGAACTGGTGCTTAAATGAATGTTTTAGTAGACTCCGAGAAACTAGTCATTCACAAAAAGAGTAACTTTTCCCCACATGTTCATCTTAAGCCACAAATTGTGGTCATGCAATAAATATTGGCTGACTGAAATCAATCACATAGAGTGTGTGTGTGTGTGTGTGCCCACGCATGCCCACTCCCTCCCCCACAAGAGGCAAAAATTAGAAGCAGTAGATTTTAATTTCATCACTCCAACAGGGCAACATGACATAAAATCTAGAAGCCAATTTCCAAGTTTCTCACATTTTCTGCAATTATTGGAGACCAGTCTTCGAATACTTAGAACATAACAGAGCATCTATGATGTAAGATACAGACCCTGATGTCAGGGATGCTATGGCTAACAGAATTCTACCAGGGAAAGACAGCTAATAAATGGATAAATGAGCAAAGTCACTTCAGACAGTGGTGACAGATTCTGTGGAAACAGAACCAGTTACTGGATACAAAGCAATCACAGAGGCTGGGTGCATGGGACCCAGGGGAGGTATCTTTAAGCTGAGGTTTAAAGGAGCAAGAATCATGGAGCTATGGAGAAAGATTAATCCCAGGCAGAGGAAACAGATGAGAAATGAGTCTGCTATTCCAGATTCCTATGCCTACAGATTGTAAAGGAGGTAGAAGTGGCAGGAGACAGGCCAGGGGAGCAAGTAGGCGTTAGATCACAGCTTTTCTTCTAGGTGAGGGTAGACTAATGGGTTGCTTTAAGCGAGGAAAATGATACAGTCAGACTTAGGTTTGAAAAAAGTCAAGATTAGCCCAAATGGCATGGCTCAGTGGTTGAGCATCGATCTATGCACCAGGAGGTGACAGTTCAATCCCCAGTCAGGGCATCTGCCCAAGGTTTTGGGCTCGATCCCCAGTAGAGGGGATGCAGAAGGTGACTGATCAATGATTCTCTGTCATCATTGGTGTTTCTACCGCTCCCTCTCCCTTCCTCTCTGATATCAATAAAAACATATTTCTTAAAAGAAAAAAGTCAAGAGTATAAAATGTTCCTTTTCCCCCCTTTCTGATATAAGCTTATTCAAGTCATCCCCTTTTAGACGAGGCTGAAGATATCCATTGTCTCAGCTCCCCCCAAATGGTAAAGACTTCATTCTAACTGCATCGAACCTTCCAGAAGCACCACTTGCAACATGTCACTCCACCGCTCTCTAATCCGGCGATTTTAAACCTTTTTCATCTCATGGCACACATAAACGAATAAACTAATCGCTAAAATTCTGTGGC